TTCATGCACTACAAAAAAAAATGATGGTTTGATATTTGTTTCCTTTATCGTCTTTGAAATGCATGAATAAAGGTAACTATTTACAAACCTGAAATAAAGCAAAACTGTGTTTATTCGATTCTTGAAAAGCGGTTTTGCAAATCTAAATCAAGCACTGGGCTAGAGGACTACATTAAGCAACAACATCAGCCATGAGTGGTGTATTTTAGGAACTGTGTCCATGGACAGAATGAGATATCATGAGCAAATATCTGTTGCAATTCCTGTGCCAATTCATAAATGGCAACAGCTGATTCTTGCCTTGCTCACATAGTTGTAGTCTGGATGTTAAAAGGTAATATTTTCAACTCCTTGGTTTACTTTGTCAGGAGTAATAAGTTTCTAATAAGGAAGCTGTATTTATACTTCTCACCTGGCCTCTCTCTCTGCGTGTAGTCAATGCCACAAAAACTGTACATAGGCTAACACATTTATCTGAGTAAGGGTGAGAGACAAGAACATGAGGGAAACTAGAGGTTATGCAGTAAATTCTATTGTAGTTAATGCCATAATTTATTCAAGATATTATCTAGTCCCCAGAACGTGCATATGAATGTTCTGGTGCTCTCTTTTCTGTACTTGTAATAAACAAGACATCAGAGGACACAAGAGTTGAGAGGGCCCAGTTTCAGTACCTCTTGTTATAAATCATCAAGCAGGTTGAGAGAAGATCACTGATGTTATCAGTATTTTTGAGCAGAAAGCGTGGATGTTATCAGTATTTTTGACCTGAAAGAGAATGGATGTTATCAGTATTTTTGAGCAGAAAGCATGCGTGTTTGTACACCTTCTTCTTTACTCCACATAGATACTCTGACAAAATACTATCTCTGCCTCAACCAGTGAGTTCCTTATCTGTCTCTGAGTTATTTTGTCCTTCTACAGAAACAGGAGTGTTTCTCTTAAACTAACTCCTTCATTCTGGATAAACTGATATAACAAAAACACCAGACGAAAACCCATGCCTTCATACCATACCTCCCCACCTCACTGTTGAGCTCACTCTGTTGAGCTCATATCCTCTCTTCTTTTACACCTCTTCAATGAGCTCTGTAATTTTCCAGCTCTTGGTCTTTTCTCTATTAATATCATCTACCTGCAATGCCATTCATCACTTCCTACCTGCCACTCTCACCTTTCATTTTTTACCTGAGGAGCTGCCTACTACCCCGTATGAGTTGTTGTACATGTTGCTTTTGACGCTTGTCACGTTTATACCCTGTTATGGTTATGATCAGCTGTGTAGATTCAACTTCCTTGACTAGGCTGGAAAATTGTGAATTGTAGGAAGTGTGTTTGAGTGTGCTTCCATTTCTGGGATTCCCACTGTGTCTAACCCTGTGGTACTTGGCATGGGTTAGGCAATCAACAGATGTTCGCTGAACAAATGAACACAAATGCGTAAAAAACTCAAACCTTTAATATTCATCTTAAAAAAATAGTAAATAGCATTACCAGGACTGACAGACCATAGTTAATTTGCCATTTCTACCTCCCACTTGCTGTCCTCAATAAAAGCGGAATAAAACCACAGATTTGCCAGTGGTCAAAAGATGAATCTAAAGGTCAATGAAGTTACAACTGATTATTAACTGATTTCATTTCTGCCTACCAAGAAACGTATATCACTCAGCTTTTGTTCAAGCAGCATTGCTTTTGCTCTATTTTGAATTCATGGTGGAAAGGATGAGTTTTTGATAAAGATCTTGACTTTTTTTGTATCAAATACAGGATAGGAAGGTATTATAGAGATTAGGTAATGAAATACCTAGGTTCTAATGCCTGCACTGCCTCTACCCCTGTCCAGCTCTATGACCTTGAACATGTCCTTGCCTCTGTCTAGGCCTTAGTCTCCCCAGATGTAACATGAGGAAGCTGATGTAGTGAATTGTCAGTGGCTCTTGCAGCCAAGCATACTAGACTGGAATTCTAGGTGGGATTCAGAGTAAATCCTTGTGATGACATATGACTCAACCTTCAGCTGTTAACTGGCCCGCCATCGTGGCAACAAGCACCAGATTATTCACACATTTTTGAGTATTTGAATTGCATAAGGCTGTTCAATGATGGTGAAAATTGGGTCCTAAATATGCTATCAGATATATATGTAATGTAACCTGTTCAGGATCTCATGTGAGTATAAAATGATGTGTGAAATATGCACCAAGCAAGAAACACTTTGAGCATTATGATAAAAGAGTAATACAATTTGATTTTTATGAGTTAAAGATGATGGTACTATGAGACCTCTAGTTATATGAAACCTGGAACTATAGTATGTCTTGGTCTTTCTAGAAAGGAAAACAATTAAGAATGTTGTTTCTTACTGTTGTATTTTTGTTTCATAGAGTCAATATTCACTCAAGGCAGGAAGACAAGACCTGATATTAGCCCCTCTGTCCAAGTCATTCAGCACCTCACCCCTCCAGTTATATTTCTATTTATGCATATTTTATTATTCTTTTACTATGCCAGTACCACAATGGGAAATATGTTTACTTTTAAAAAGGTACCCAGAATCCTCCAATTTCTCATCCAAGAATGTAAAAACACTTACCTCACATAAACTCACTTAAGAAAATGTGAATGTAACACTGTTCCCCCAAACCGCTTTCTTCTTTGAATGCCAGCTTTTCACATAGCAGCTTTCCTGACCTCCTACTTCCAGGACCTCAGACCCCTCTGTCTGTGGGCTGGCACTTGGAATGTGGCTGTCCACTTGGCAAAGTGGAAAGAGCTTCTGTTCTTCCTGTGGCATCTGGGGCCTCAATTCTAGTTCCACCACTCAGCAACTCTGTGAATGCTGGGAGGACATTTCACTTCTCCAGATCCTAATCTCTTCACTGGTAAGACAGGAATAATTATATTTACTTTTTTAACATGGCTGGAATAATTAGAGATTGCACAGAGAGCATCTAACACGGAGACTGACATGTAGTAGGTGTAGGTTCACTTCCCCTTCTGTAGATGGTCCAGGGTCTCTGACGCATCTCCCTTCTTCACTGGTTTATCTCTGTGCTATGCTACCACCAAGCAGTCATCTATGCACAGATAAAGAGGGGAAAATGGTCTGCAGTCATCACTCGGGATTCCATCCAATTCAGTGAGGTCTCCAGCCACTACTCAACAATCATTCAGCAGCACTGCAATGTCAGTGTCCTTATCTGTTTCTTATGCTACTGTTGTTCAATATCTACTACATAATGTAGTTTAGGAGAAAGAGACACAAAGTGGGTTCCGGTAGTCCTGGCTTCCAGTCCCGACTCTCAGATAAACCTACTCTTTGTCCTATGCCAAGTCATATCCTTCTACATATTTAAATAACAGTCTTATACCTTAGTTCTCTCCAGAGATACATAGATTGTTCAGGCCTATGCACTTATGCTTTGATTTACTGGATATTCAGGTAATGCAGCCCATCTTTTTCTGTGTTTTCTTCTTCTTGTGGAATTCAAAGTCTGTGGGTTCCTGCCATTGCCCCTGAAGTGGTCACATTTATGAGCCTGGCTGATCTAGAATCTCTTCAAAGGCTGTTCTTCCTTCCTGATAATGATAATTCAATGCATTTACCTAATATCTGGGAGTTTACAAAGTATTTTCATTTGTTCGTTAGTATTGAAGTCTCAGTAGTAACTCCTGAAGATGGGGATTCTTACCCACATTTTAGAGATGAGGAAACAGGATGAGAGATGAAAGGATGTTCTCAGGAGTCGCACAGTACATGTTACATAGCCTGGATTTCAAGCAGCATCCTTCTCCCAGTCCTGGGTCTTGGCCTGAATGTAAATGTGATTTCCAATCCAAGTTCGAATGTCTGTGCACTCATTAGACCCTAGGCAAGTCTTGTTTTTCTTGTATGAGAATGAAATTGAACTTTCAAACATTTTCTTAAGGCTGTAGGATCTACATTCTCTTCATTTTCTAATATACTTGTAACTTTAAATTACTTATTAAGCCTGAAGGATATTTCACTTCATTGTAGAAATTCACCATTGCCACTGACTTCTGCAAAGCTTGGCAGTGAAGTTTTTATAAAAAATGTGGCCATTGAGAGTGGTCTCCTTGATACTTAAGTGTGTATTGTCTCAATCGTTGTCTTAATAGGTAGTTGCTGTAGAAGCAAATGCCATAGTTTTAATGGCAGCCTTGATTTTTCTTGTCTTTCCTTTAATGGAATTCCATTCTATACTTATTAATCCACTGAACTTGTCATTACACATCCCTGTCATTTCTCAAAAATGTAAGGAAACAGCATGGTATAGCACAAGGACTGGACTAAAAGTCAGAGGAGCAGATTTCAGTCCCCCCTCTTCTACCAATTATTTGGAATGTGGCAAATCACTTCACTTCTGTGAACATCTGGTTCATGTTTTATACAGCATTGAACTATATCATTTCTAAGGTTATTTTCCACCCTATTTGTTGAATTCTCCAGCATGTTCTACTTCCTACTTTATTAGATTAAATTACTCTGCTTCATTTTTTTTAATTTTGCAAGGAAATACTCATTACATATAAGGATAGGAGATTTCACTTATTTCCACAGATATTTATTGAGCACTATGTAAAACATAATTAAAGTGTAATGGACATTTGGAGGAGGGAGACATTCCAGAAGAAGAAACTGTTATGAGTAAAGATAAAGCAGTTTGAAAGTGCACTTTCTAATGAGAACCTGGGGATTCACGGAGAATTTGCAGTGCATGGACGTGTGAGCAGTTAGCGTTAAGGTTAAGAAGAGGGCAGTGTGGAGGCCTCTACAGTGTGTACTATTTATAATCAAGCTCACGTGCACACACACACACACACATACACACACATACTCACTCATCCCTTTCCAGGGTCTTCTGATGACCTGTACTGCCTGTTGCTCTTTTTATCTCAGCCAGCAGAGAGATAAATTGCCAAGATTAAGTATATCTGTACATTTGGGAAGGAACTCCATAAAAAAGAAGATGAAAATCAAGTGTACCAGCATCTTTGATTCATACGAGGACCATTTTCAGTGGTAACAGTTTATCTTCATTGGTTGTGACTTCCTGCAGGACGTGACTTTTGATATATTCCTTCTTGAACTTCCACCAAGCACAGTTTCACCACAGTTGACGCTCGGTAATAGATCCTTGTTTGTTGGACCTAATTGCTGCCTACTGAAATCAATCCTAGAAAGGAGAGAAGATAGCTTTTTTTACATAGAATAACTAGGAGGGTTTTTTTTTGTTTTTTTTCTTTTGAATGAGCTACCAATAACAAAATAAAACTGCAGTGAAAGAATTGACAGCCTGGATATGTAATCTGCCTGACCTGATAATTGTAAAAACTGATTCCTGTGTCAGCCTGCCAGATGGATCTTCTCCTTGAAATGTAACATGCAGCACTTCTGAATGTGATTCAAGCTCAAGCTTCCTTTTCTCTTCCCTTCACGTTTGTTGAGTTTGGGAAAGAAGCAGTTTTATTTGAACTAAACCCACTCATTTCAAGTGTGTTTAATGACAGCAGTATGTGACAGATAAATAAAATCCTACGGCCTCGTTTGATGTTTGTTTTAATTTCAGACCTTAGTGAAAGGAGACAGGATAAAACAGTGTTGTTCAAATGGGGAAGTTGAAAACAAATGATTTGTTGTTACATACTTAGCCGTATTTCTCCAGGGAAATTTGGGAAGTCAAATAATATAAACAGTAATAATAGTAGTACTTGAGATTTGCGGAGTGCCTAGCAGTTTGTAGAGTGTCTTTATGTTCATTACCACATCAAGTCTAGGAGGTTGCCTGGCCAGAAATCATCATCCCAGTATTACACACACGATTGAGTGAGTTAGGCCAAATACTACTTCTAACATGGTAGAACTGAGCTTCACTTTTGGTCCTGTTGATTTTGAATGGAATAGTTCCTCTCATTCTCTGTGCTGGCTCAACAGCCAAACATGTGTGCAGTACCTTGGAACACATTGTAACCGGCCTGTTCCTTAACTTTACTGAAGCGTATATATGCTGGCAATATACAAATAAATTCTTATCACAACAGATTTCAGCAGTGAGAAGTATATGGAGTAGAACATAACAGCCCTCCCTCAGTACCCATTCTATTTCTTCCCCGCCAACCCCAACTTTTTCCAAAGAGCCATCACCATTGTCTTTGTTGTGCATCTTTCTGGCATATATCAATACATTTATGTGTACATTTACATATGTGTGTGTGTATATATATATAAATGTGGTATATTATCTATTTTTTTCAGTTCTTTTCCTCTGGATCTTTTCATGTCAGTTAAAAGGATTTGCAATACTATTTTTAACTCTGTATAGTGCTTCATAGTGTAAGGGTTCATCACTGAGTCTCTTTTAGAGTGGAGAGCTTCAGCTTTTCTTTATTATAAACAATGTTAAGATGAGCTTCCTCGCGTATATATCTTTGTGTACATGTGAATCCAGAATTGAAATTGCTTGGGGTTCTTTTTTTTTTTTTGAGATTTATCAAAATTCAGTGTGGGCCATCATCCCAAATGTTAGAATCCTCATCTTAACTCATGTGATCGACCTGGATTTCCACTTAGTTGCTTGGGGATGTGTTGTCCGGACCAACCCAGACACTTCTCTAAACAGACACTTGTGGCCAAGAGAGTAAATGTTGGGGAAGTTATTTTCCATGGCACTGTGGTTTGAATACAGGCACTCACCATGGAAGAAGAGTAGGGTATTCTTGTAACAGTCTTGTTTACTTAAAACAGCCACGACTCTTCGCTGAGATAGAATAAGGTACTTAACGCAATAAAAATATCTACCATAATTTAAAAATGCAAATGTAGCAATGCACTAAAAAATACCTTTAGCTTATTTTTTTGTTAAGAAACAAGTGTTTTGCATAATCAGGCTTTAAAAAATATAATTGAATTCTCTATACTGATTCTATGATAGGAAGGTCCAGAGTCAGGTCCACCTTCCATGCCATACTCCTTCTTTCCACCATTCCCAGCTGGTCATATTGAGGGTAATTAGCAGGGAATAACATCTGAAAATGTAGGTATGTAAGGGAATCGAGCTAATCTGCATAGCTTTTAGGATATTACAGATTTCAGAGGAGCATCCTCACGGATAATTCCCAAATCGCAGATAATTTGTTGTTGTGCTTTACAAGCAGAGACACAAAATAAACTCTCTTCCCCATCCTTCTATTTTATTTATTTATTTTCCTTCTGTTAATAGACGTAGTCATTTTTTAAAACCATAATATACCAGAGTGAGCCAGAATTATGTGTGTCTAAGTTCTTTTAAAATAAAGAAATTGTTTCTTGGGTCTGTTTTAGTTAGGTCCTTTCAGGTTGCAGGAACCAAGATGTGCTTAAAGTTACCTCAGATGACTTTAGATGGTGGGAATTTATGGTAAGTATACAGGGAGAAGGAAGGAAGTCCGAAAACCCATGTCAGCGACTAGACAACCAAGTCTCATGGAGACTGGGAATGTCATTGAGGACACAACGGCAGCTGATTCTGTCATCCTTCAGAAATAAACATCCAGTGTTTCCTTGGCCGGTGGGTCTTCGTTGGACAAGGATTTAGCTTTCTTCCGTTTTCCTTCTGTTTTCTGGGGCAGCTCCTGTTAGTGATTCTGTTTAGTCTTCTTCTGAAGACTAGGATGCTCATTATGTGATGTTCTGCTGCCTCGTGGCCTCCTCATCCTACGCTGTGTGTCTCTGGCTTTTGCTCTATTCCATCTCTGCTCCCAGCTTTTCTTTTTCTGTATCCTTACACTGAAAAGCCTGAACCAACAGTACCATTATTTTAGCTGGTTCTTCTCCAGTACACATGGAGAAGGAATTCTTCCTCCAGCACAGCTCCTGGGTATCTAGTGTGGTTTGGGTTCAATGTCTGATCCAATTACCTGTGGCCAGAGTGCAGAATTACCTGTTATAAAACTGTGGTGATGTAGTTATTAAAACAAACAACTTTTTGAGGCTTTTTGCTTAAACAGAGCTGTTGGTGTGGTAGAGACAACGTTGTATGTACTTCTCTATCACAGAGAGAAATGTATAAAGTCAAGGCAAACCAAATATCTGAGTCTGGGACTTCACCCCAGATGTTTGCAAGTAAACAAGTTCTGGACCATAGAGATCCGCTCCTCTCACTTTCGGACTGCCGCTTGCTTTGGTCTGTAAATCAGTGTTCCACTAGTATTTAGTTTTCATTCTGGTTTTAAAACAGTTTATCTGTAAAACTATAATTTAAAATTCTGATAAGCAAAGCTAACATAGTAATGAGCCCATTAGAAAGGAATTGTGAGATACTATTAGACTTTGATAACTTTCAAGGAACTTTATTCTATTTTTGTCGCCCATTCAAAGCTAACATTGTTAGCAGTTTTAAAACTGAATGGGGTTTTTGTTTTTTCATAAATATGTTTGATGTATATTATATCTTATTATGGCAAAGAAACTTAAAGTACCAAATAGAATGAAGACATATTTGATATTAAACTAATGAAAACATTCAATATTTGATAACTTCAGAGAGACTTTGACGAAGCTTCAAGGTTATTTTTATAAACATGTACTACTGGACAATATAGAAGTTTCTTAACTCACAGATTTTCACTTTGGTAGATGCGGACTAATGTGTTTGCCAGAATGTGCCACTCTTCTCTATTTACCGTAAGGGGAGGGGTGGGTAGGACATTGCGCAGTGTCACTTAGGGCTTAGAGGCAAAGGGATTTTGGAATAGCTTTTAGTTTAACCTGCATGTGAGAAAGAAAGGTTTCATTGTGTGGTTAATAGGCATTTTCATATGATAGGAAAATGGATTAACAAGATTTAACTTTATATTCTCAATAACTTCCCAACTAACCAGTGTCTTTGATGAGAAAAATTTGAAAATTTTACAGTTGTGTTTCTTTTCAATCTTCCCTTGCACGATTACAAGATGATGTAAAAGTGCTTACAGTTTGATTGCTGTTCCTAATAACCATGTTAGAATTTCACAGGTGACCTGGAATATCATATCTTGACTTTCATATGTGGGAACAAGAGTCAGCAAACAACCTTTCTGTGCTTAGAGATGATTTTATACATAAAATAATATTTTTTTGAAAATGAACAGGGATGGGAACTATGTCATATTTTCTGTATCTTATTTCATGTTAGCTTTATTAGTTAGCTCTCATTACCTCACCAAATAACTCAGATTAAAAAATATATATCTTAACTGTGAACAGCCTAAGGACTCTATTCAATGATTAAGTCAAATCACAGTCTCATCGCTTAATGTGTTCCTTTGATCCCCTTCCCATCTCTCCCTCCAACATTCATACCACATCCTTGGATGTTTCTGTTTAGTTCAAAAAGCCATGTTCTCTCACTATGTAAATTATACCAAGAATACCACTAATCATATACAAGAAGCTAACTATCTATGCTTGCGTTGTGTCTTTTTTAATATCATGCTTTGGGATATGATGCCAAATTGGATCTCTGTTTTGCTTTTAATTAGTCAGCAACACTTATTTAATGCCCAGTAAGCTCAGAGCAAGGCTTGGAGGGTGGAGAAGGGGAGAAAGGAGATCAAAAAACAAATACACTATCATTTCCAGAATAGCTTACAGTATCTTTATGCATACAGAAAACAGATAAATGAAAGGATTAAGAAAACTTAAAAGCAAAATCCAAATGAGTGCAAATTGATCTGATACAAACTAAGCTATATAAATGCAAAGAGGATGCAAATTATAAAAACTTGAAATGTTTAAAATTTCTATCTTTCTACTTTTATTTTCATAATACTTTGCCATGAGAATTCTTAGATCTCAGAACACCATACCCTTCAGTGAGGAAAGTTTACTGGTTCAACTGTATCATTTAGAGAAACAAACCGAATTCTTAGTATTTTATGGGCTTCTGAGAGATGACGCTGTAAAGCTTTATGAGTCTCTGTTAAACTTTTCTCATCATTAAAGCTTTTAAGGAACCTTGAACAAGTTCCTTAACCTCTCTGTGTCTCAACTTCCACATCATTAAAATGGGAATGGTAATAGGACCCATCTCATGGGATTGTTAGGACTATTAAATGTATTATAGTCTATTACTTGTATCCTATAAAGTGTCTTTCTCACAGTTTAATTTCTTGAAAATTGAAACACATCCTATGCTTGATGTGGTAAGAAACCATTGTGACACATATTAAGTGACACCAGTTGGTTCTTTGTTCATAGGTTAGTAGAAAAAAAAAAAAGAAGAAGCAGTTTATAGTCAAAGCCGTGTGTAAAGTGTGTCTAAAGTGCTTAAAACAAAGCCTGTCTTATAGAATGATGCTGTTATCATCATTGCCTGAATACCGTATTTGTGATACGTAAAACATTTGTCCCTAATTTCACTGGCTTCTGTACTGTGAAGCAGATATATTTATAATTCCTGGTCTTTGAGTAAATAGAGCCTAGAAGAATTATCAGATATTATACAACTGCCAAATAATGACTTATAGCAAACCAGTAGTTTGTTTATTCCTCTTCTCATGCATATCAACACCTGTTTAATCTGATCATGTTTTCAAAAACCCACTAGTGTTCTATTTATTTCTAGCTATAGCTTTCCTACCTGTATTTGGTGATTTGGTGCTGGCAGAGTCCATATTCGTAACACTAAATCTGGCTACTGTGATCAACACAGTCTTTCTAAGTTAGACACTACTAATGATATTGATTAGGGAGAAGGCATTCTTTGTGATCCTATTTGCAGGATCTTGGGTAATTCACTGACTGGACCCAACTGTGAGTTGTGAAATGTGCATGTTGAAAGCAATGAGTCTTCTAGCTGCATGATTTGTGATATCACTTCAATTTACCTACTGAGGAGCTTCATGTAAATTGGTCATTTGTAGAAAGTAGTTCAGTGGCTCAGAATCTGGCATCATATTTTATTTTTATTAAATTTCGGTAAACATTATTGAGCAACTTGTAGGTTTCAGGCTCCACGATAGGGATGAAAACATGTAAGACCTCTGTCCAGCAACGCTACAAGGAGAAAGATAGACTGGTGACTCAGATTTACTTTTAAATGATAGCTTTTTGAGATATAATATACTTACCCTTCAATCCACTGACTCTGTTTTTAAAGGAGATGATTAATACATTCACTCAACAGATATTGAGCATCTGATATCTGCCAGAGACTTTCTAGGTGCTAGGGTTATGGAGATTGACAATAGTTAGACAAAACTGAGCCTATCACAAAATGTGTATTGACAGACGGTTTTCCATTTTGTGCTATAGACCAGTATTTAGGGTCAGCAGAGGGTACTCTGGAAGCATATTCAGGGACAAAGCAAACCTAGTCTTAGAAGATCTGAGGAATTTTCCAATGATCATGTCTGTGTCCTGCCATAACACCCTGAATGCATCTGATCTGAGCTAAACAGAGGTCTGACAAACTTGTTGGAGTTTGCTAGGTGAGTGGCTTGTGGAAAGTAGAGAGGAAGAAGTTTTTCTGGAAGAGAAAAGAAAATATGCTGAGGCTCAGAGGTGAATCACACATAATGCACAATAGGTTAGTATTGGTATAACATTTGGGACTGTGTGGGCAGACAGTTGCTGCAGGGCCTGAAGGGTGGAGAGGGGCAACTTATGCTTCAGTAGGGGTGTATATGTCTTATTATGAGGTCACAATGAAGATTGAGGTCAGCTAGAGGATGTGACATTCGAGTTGGGTCACAAAGGATGTACAGGAGTTTTTCAAGGCTGACCACAGTCTAGGCAGAAGAAATTGAAATTGTGAAAGGAAGATTTGCGTGACAGAATGGTGTTTTTGGCTGAGCGAGGAATTTGAAGTATCTGGAAAATGGAGTAAGTGGCACAGAGAAAGAAAACAGCCAAAAAAAAAAAAAAAAAAAAAAAAAAAAAAAAAAAAAAAAAAAAAATTGGTGAGGGTTCAGAGAGCAGCCTACAATTAGATTCGGTGCAGTGCAATGACTTTGTATGTTGTGCACCTTGTCCTTGTAGGCAGTTGCGGGCACTAGGGGCAGGAGTTTGAGGGAAGACAGGGCATTGATAGTTTGAGGAAAAAATGAGAAGCATGTTTTAGAAAGATAATCTGAATACACTTGAATTGGAGGGGCCCTGGACTGTGAATGAAAACCAGAAGTACGTCATCTGTATTGTGTAGGATAGTGCTTATCTACAAAGAATTTTATGTAGAATTCCCCCTGTCAGATTAATCCTTTGCAGCAATAGTCAATTATTTCTGATATTAAACATTATAATTAAATAAAAGATATGGATTGGTAACTAAACATTTATTGAGAAGTTATTGTATCACTTCCACATATCAATTCACTTGTTTTTCTTAGTAATCCAATGATGTAGCCTGTCATTTCTCCCATTTTTCAGCAGAGGAAATTGTGGCCCAGAAAGGTGTATATAACTCATCGAGGCACTAAGTGGCAGAGGCATGTTTCAGCCACGGCCATCTGGCTCCAAAGCCTAAATATATGAATTGACCACCAAAGGCACTTTTGAAAATACTAACAGTCACTGTATTAGTGAAGAGGGTGTTTGGCAAAAGTTTCTATTTTGCTTTTTTACAATTCAGTGATTTGTAATTTATTTACACAGTCAAGCAATCATTACCTCAATTTAATTTTAGAACATTTAAAAATTCCATCCTCATTTGCTTCTCATTCTCACCCCAACACTAGATAACCTCAAATCTACTTTAGTGGTAATCGGTTTGTAAATGAATGGCAGCTTCAGTTTAATGGCTGTTTTTTTTTTTTTTTTTTTGACTAGTTGCAATCTGATAGCCGTAATCACTAATTCAGGAGAATAACATTGTTTGATCTTGTCATTTCTAACTTCTGCATGCAATTAGTATACTCTATTCATAATTTGATGCAGAGAAGGGTAAAAGTGACAGGGCTTAGTGTACTCTATTCATAACTTGATGCAGAGAAGAGTAAAAGTGACAGGCCTTGTGGCAGTCATTGGTCAGAGGCATGTGAGTAAGACTGCCCGAGACCCTGCCCTGGAGTTCTGTCTTGCAGATAAGGCAAATAGACAAACTATTAAGCAATATTGGAGAAAAAAATTATTGTAGAAATCCTGATGTTTTTGGTGAATGGCTTATGTTAAACTTCTCTCTGCTGGAAGCCATTGAATTGTTTTTAAAAACTTAGTATGTGTGAAGCATTTGGAATGCTTGGCATTTTGAAAATAAAATCCACATCAATTTAAAATAAAATAAAACTCCCCATCCAGAATAGAGTAGTAATTGCAAGGCATAAAATAGCCCAGCTGTGGAGTGGCTTAAAGGACAATTGGTCTCAGGCAGAGAGTACCAGATAGGACACGCTACACAAATGACTGTAATGTCTGAATTAGTGTACCTATTGGGTAGCACATATATGTGAAATGGCTTAAAATAAAAATTGCAAATGCACCAGATTTAATCAATCTTAGTATTTCTTTCTCTTATGCTCTCAGTCCTTAGTTAAAAATAAAATTTGCCTGTCTCATTCTCCTGTGTGCTAGCTAGTAGGATTAACTGGAGTTCTCAACAGGAAAGCAATAGATCTAGTAGACGACATTGTATGGTGGGTGAAAGCCCGGTAGAGATAATTATACAGTCACTCCCACTATATTACCCTTCAAAGAAACTGAGCCTAATATTCTCCTCCTAAGCAATTTAACCAACTTCTAAAAAAAAGTATAGGATATTATTTAGAGAATGAAATAGCTACTGTATATAATCAGGAGGGAGAATTATAGCAAATTATACTCATTTGATAAGTGTATAAAGAGCTACGCTCAAAGCTTTGTATTGTACCTCCTAAGTAATTGTTCAGTTGTGCTAACTGTCCTTGAAAAAGGAGAAGAGATAAAGAACTGCTAAAGAAAAAAATCAATCGTTATACTTGTTCAGTAAGATTTTCCTTCTGGGCAAAGATTAAGTCTTATTTCATGCTCCATGAGGATCAAGCACACATTTAGCCCTCCCATGTTTAGTAGTGGTGATTTCTTTGCCTTTCTCACATTCGTGTTCATGTATAAACATAGACACCAATATGAAACTAAATGCAATAAAAGTGTGTTTTAAGATCTACCACATGTACATCCTAGTAGGTATAGATAGATGTTATATATCTGTGTTCACTGCACTTACATCCCAATATTTTCAGAAAATAGGACTGTATGCAAATGTTTCCAATATCTCTTTCTAGGATCACCAAAAAACAGAGCCCCAGAAGTCTTTCTACTTGTTTCAAAAATGAGCTGGTAGTAATATTAGAGCCAATTTCCTTTTGGTTTGCTTTAAACAAAATAAACAGCCCATTATGTAAACTGTGTAAGACTTTTACACAAGTGTTTGAGCACTTTCCTTAGAGTTTGTAAGTCTTGTGCCCCCACCATCAAAAAGTAAACAAATAAATAATAAAAAGCCAATCTCATTGTTATTATGAGAAGTCATACAGCATATTTGCTAAGAGCAGCTCCTCTAAAGATGTCAGACTGCCTTAGATGGAACACTGTGTATCCTCCGCTTGCCAGCTGGGTAACGTTCAACAAGCAGCTTAATCTCTCCATGCCTCAATTCCTGACTTCAAAATGGTTGTAATAATATGGTGCCTACTTCATACAGTTGCAGAGACGTCAGTTAGGCACTGTTCCTCTCACATATGTCATCAATCCTAAGACCCATTCACGTGCTTAACATTTCTGACTAATTGCTGTTACATGGTAATCATGACATAGCACTCGTTGTCTGTACATGTACATCAAAATCTGCTTTCCATGGAGATTAGTGACTTGGAAGAAAATCCTGGAGTCAATAGTGGACCCCTTTTTTATTAAGACTCTTGATGGCCCGGAGGTCAGTATCATGAGGAAAAACATAGAACTTCCATGATTTTGACTTGAAAAGTAATTCAAATGGTTGAAATTTAAATGTAAAGAAATGTTTGGAATGCTTTCATTTGTTGAACTTATATTTTCCTTTTTATATATATAGAGGGGTGACATATGATAAAAAAAAAACTGTGGATAATTTTAAGCCATTTACTTCAACAAACATGTAATAGATATTCTAATGACAGAGCCCTATGTTATAATTTAAATGGCAGTAATTTTTGTTTCTGGTGTTGTAATAGCTAGTGGTGTATTTTATAATCAGTAGCATCTTTGATTTGATGGAGCAGTGTAGTAAGAACTCAATCAATGTTAGAGTCCTCATTAGGATGTTGGTAGAGGTTAGTGTCAGTAGATACATATATTAGAGTCAAGGGTCCTAAGGCTTTTTAATGTGAGTAGAGTGCAATGAAATAATATTTTGGATTGACCAAAAATCTAGAGAACCTGACTTGCAACTGTATCAGTATGACTTGCTGAACTTCATTCAGTAAATATTGCATTAAAATGAGCTGAAATTCATGTCTGCTAAATAGGTATAGTCTGCCCTTTTCTCTTCATTATGAGGATTGAATCTAATGATAGGGGTATAAGCACTTTGTAAATCCAAGTAAGAATTATTAGTTAGGGTAGTTCAGGTAGTGCTGTAGTAACAAATACTCTCCAAATCTCGGTGCCAAAAACAAGGGTTTATTTCTTATTTATGCTACTTGTCCATCATAGGTCAGAAGGAGTTCTTTGCAGACTAATAGTTGCCATTTCCAACACTTCTGACCTCCATGCCAGAGGGAAAGAGCTCTGAGGGTCTCAAACTGGCAATTCCACACTTTGACCTGGATGTAACACATGTCGCTTCTTACAGCTCCTTAGCCATAACTATTCACATGGCTCCACCTAGCCATAGGGTTGCCGCGGAGCAGAGAGCTGGAAATACGTGGAGAACAGTGTCGATAACTTTGTAATAGTAACAATGGTTAACAATCATTGTGTGCTTCCTAGTAGCAGGCACTGTTGTAAGTGCTTTTTGTGGGGAGAGTCCTTTAGTCCTCATTAAGTGGGTATGATCACGATTCCCGTTGTACAGATGAGAACCCAAGGCACAAAAAGGTAGACCAACCTGCACAGAAGAGACAGGGCAGGGAGTTTGCTTGTGTGACATTGACATGTGTCTCAAACTATAATGGATTTGAATGCATTTTTTAAAATGTAAAAGGAAGATACAAATATAATTGAGAATCTTCTGTTTTGAAAAATAAGAGATGAGGTTTGGTGATCCCCAAGCCTCCTTAAATTTCACCTGGATCAGCGCAAAATGACCCGCACTTACAATGACTGCTGTGTTGCTTTGCCACCTCATCTTCAGAAACCACGGGCCCTCTCCTGGCCACTCACTTACGTGGTAGCTCAGCAGAGGGGCATTGTCCCAGCGTTTCAATAGATTCTTCCTCCTTAGACTTATTTAACCTTTCTATTTTGGGAGT